CCCCCCCATATGTGTCCACAGTCACAGAAATCAAAGGCCAGACTGGTTTAACACCGTGAATGTGCCACATACTGTATATTCACAACTGTGTCATAATGTTAAAAAAATGATTTTAGATGATGGGCTCTCTAAAGATCAGAGCGAGAAGCTGAAGTCTAAGCTGGCGTGAGACAGGGAGTTTGCTGGTACGAGGAGACCACAAAGAGAGTCACCAGATGCAGGGCTGCAGAGCTCTCAGGGGCCAGAGACACGTCCTGTCTTATACATATCACTCCGGAAACAGGGGCAGGGTCGGGGAGTCTATCTCTGGCTGTCTTGTCCGTTGATCACATTTCCCCCTGGGGGAGCAATGGTGATGGAATCCAGTAGGGGGCGCAGAGCCTGACCGAAGGGCCTGGGGGGATGAAGAAAGATGGGTCACAGATCCACAGGCATCTCCTCAAAGAACGCCAAGCGGGCACAGCACGGGACACCTAAAGCCCTCGCAGGCCCCTCTGACAGACTGTTATTAGGGTAACAGCCAATGACATTCACAGAAATACACAAATGCTACTAGTACAAATTAGCATTATATGAATAAATACTCGTTGTTGAAGGATGCCAACTAAAGTGCATTGACTTGTTCAGAAATAAACTAAAAAAGGAAATCACAACAGTTTAGGTATATAAAAATGTGCCTATATAAAATGTATACTAATAATATGCGTGTTATTATTTTCAATACTATTGCACTGTGAACAATAGAAAAAGGTACAAAATTTCCATTGAACTCTTTTTAACCTCAACATGTCCTTGTTTTCATACTGAATATTCAGGTCAACTTCTACCTATTACGTGCCCTGTGAATTCAGCCTTTCTCTGCAGCGTTTGCTAAATCAGTTTAGCCGACGGGTGGGGACTCACGTGGAGAGGACCTCCGACGGCAGGTCTGTAATGTACGCAGGGATTTTGCAGCCTGTCAGGAACTGCGCCACCTCGTTGGTAAAGGTGTTGCAGTTGTGCTCAAACAGCCGATACCTGTCCGCTCTTGCATGGGGAAAACAGGAGCGCTTACAGAAAGTTGCACTTCTGCACTTTGACATGTGCACTTGGATATCCAGCAGGGCCTGCCCAGGCCAGTATCTCACCTGTATGTAGATTCCCCCAGTGAGGACAGGTACTCCATAAAAATCTCCTCAGTCACCTCTGTGCTGCCCAGATCCACAATGGTGTTGGGCTCTCCCAGTAGCGTTCCACCCTAAAACAAAGCATCAATATTGAATATTCATGTATCAGTTTTACATCATCTTCCATTGCCGAAAACCAGTTCCAATACGTATAATATGCCAAAGATAAATCTGTCTACCTTTCCAATTGTATTTTACGTAATTCCTTGCACATCACACTTGATACAAGTCAAAGTATTACACAACATTTTGTAAAGAACACAAGTACAGAAGACAGTAAAAAAAAAAAAATCCCCGGATATTTGCTCCGCCCCCAAATACCGAGGATGCAACGGGCTGCATCCTCGCCGATCGAGACCAATCCCTTGATTCATTGCGCCCCAAGTTCTTGGGAGGCAAGGTAGCAAAACCGGTCAAGACCATAAGCACGACCTTCGCCTTCTTCGTATTGAGATTCACTTGCTATTCTTGGTAACCATAAACAAATCCCAGAATGCACCGCGCAAGAGCCATGGAACAGTTTGTATGGCATGTAGTAATAATTTATTAATCTAAATTTTAAATGTTTGTCATTTTATTTTTCCCAGAAAAATTATTCACAACGAAACACAAACACAAAACACAGAGATTATCATGCTGGTGGTAATTTTTCCAAGTCTTGTGCTCAAGATTGTTTTACTTCTAAGTACAATTAAGCCAAGCCGACGGTTTGAGGACGTTTAAAATCCCTCTTGAAATTACCGGCGAACATCCTGTTATTCCTTCTCCTCCGAAGAAGAACTCCTCTCCGTAGACCACGATGGAGGTGTGCCTGCAAAAGGGAACCCAAAGTCAACCCTTCACCAGTTACATGTTAGCGTTTCTGGTCGGTTGAGGGTTAACGAAGGCCTACCATATCCCGTCGAGCTGTTTTCCTGCGGAATAAAAACACAGAGATATTAAAGCGCTTCAGCTATGAGCTTTTATGATTCCTCACTAAGTATCTATATGCCCGGCGACACGGTAAAATGGCTGCACAGCCTTCATTTAACCGCTGCCAGATAACCGAGCCGATGACAGCGGCCATCTGACAGATAAATCTAAACATGATCCTAAACATCTAAAAATGACATAATAAACGATCGATCATACTGTTTCGTGGTGTTTTTCTAGCCGTAACCCAAAAACACTACTATAGCGACACTTAGCAGCAGCATCTATTAAGATCTGGGTGTTTATAAACTGTCATAACCCTGTATATGTAAATATAAAGAATGCATCATGGCGAAAGTGAATCTCGACCCGGTTTGGCCACCTGTCGCAGGCCGTCGCATTGCCCGCCACCCCTTACCCAGCATGATGGGGCTGAGCTGGCGCGCCATGCCCCTGGACAGGTCGTAGATGTACAGCTTCACGGCGTACGTCGCGTTAGGCTGGTCCATGGCGTCCAGCCGAAATGCTCCAAGCCCTCGGTACGGCTTTAGAAACAGCAGCCCCGGCTGTGATGAGGTGCCTCGTAACGCGACCTGCAGGAAATATCAGCGGGGGCTTTAAATGCAAACGTCCTTCTTCCGCAGGACAAAAGCGAAACCGGCGAAGAAAGGCGGCGCGGTGACAGGCACGGTGTCTGCGGAAATCAGCTGAAGAGCTGCGCGATGCTGTGTCACCGTGACTCACAGGCTCCGGACACACAGGGAAGGAGCCCGGTAGCTCAGTGGAGGCACAGAAAGCGACCCGGCGAATCTTTTCGTACAGTTACGTCATTGCTTAGTGAATAGGGTTATATTCCATACCCAGCAAGCAGGTTCGGTGCACAATAAACAGGAAAACAAAATTCATCTTTAAATAACGAAGGCGGGGGTCAAATACAAAGTGCAAGGGTTTAACAATCCGTGTCTAGGTACAAAACTCCTGCACACTGAGATTTTCGTCTTTAATTGATGGTATTTTAATGACAGTTGAAATCATTCATGGATCTTCCATAACCTTTTATCCCTACCAGTGTTGGAAATGTAACACTGGAAATGTAATCACATCAGTCACAAACAATGAAAGAATCAGACTATGAGCCTGTATCACGACGCCGGATTTAATTCTTGCTTAACCAGATAACTTCTTGGATTTAAGGAACCCTCGTTTAAATGGACATTTTAGTGCGGGTTATTCGGCTAGTCAAGAAATCCTGCTTCATGATTATTATTATTATTATTATTATTATTATTATTATTATTATTATTATTATAGCTGAAAAGCAGGATACTAAGCACGGTCATCAACAACCAATCAGAATGAACCCGGAACTATACGACTATGTACGTTACGTCTTACGTCAACGTCTAGCTTACGTGCTCGTTCCAGCGGAAACTCGGAGCAGCATTTCTGAGAGTGAGATAATAGTGGTCTGTGTAGGCTGTTGGTGAGTGTCTGCTAATACTTCCCACATTTATTTGAGAAGTTATGTCTGTGTGGTGTTGCTGCTGTACGTATTACAGTCTTTTCAGTGGCATATAACTCAAAGTAGCTAGCTAGGTTGCTTGTTATCCTGTGCACCATATGCATTTCGACCTGTAAAACTTTCATGCACTTTAATTGGTCGAGCCTGTTGAGGCTCCGGATGTTTACATCGCTTGTCTGTTAACGGACGTTTATGTCGATTGTTGTTTTAAACACCTAAAATGCTGAAATAAATTTACAGATGTGACCAAGCCCGTCGACAATGGCAGCGTGGCAGGAATACTATCGGGACGAGGATGATGAGGTTGAACAGGAGGAAGGGGAGGAACTTACTGGTAAGCAAGATCAGTCTGTTGAACTGCCGCCTTGCATGCAGCGGTTAACTAATGTGATTTTTATTGGTGCACAAATGTTGTTTTTGTGCAACTTTAGTGGATTACAAGTACAGTGGGCGTGACAGTCTGGTGTTTCTGGTGGACGCCTCCAAGGAGATGTTTATAAAGGGAGAAAATGGAGAGCCTTCCAACTTCGACATGACCATGGAGGTAGTTAACTTTCCCTGTGATATTTAGTCGCACTGTCCGTCTCTCTGCTCCCTTTCAGGCTGTGTGTGACTATAAGCATTGGAGAATCTCTGCATTTCCAAACTCATCCCTCCCTCTCCCCCTACGCTTCTGCAGTGTGTCCGCAACGTCTACACCAGCAAGATCATCAGCAGCGACCGGGACCTGATGGCACTGGTGTTCTACAGCACTCAGCACACCCAGAACTTCCAGAACTCCTTCAAGAATGTCTATGTTTACCATGATCTTGACTCACCTGGTGAGTGGTATGCAGCCCCTGTTTCACAACAGGGGGTCTGTTGGTCCAATGTACCCAATGTGGATGGTGCAGGTGCTGTGGGCCTTGTGGTTTTATTGGCTATGGAAACAGCTGTAATGTAACCATAACCATTGAAATAATTCCGTTTTAAGGTATTTTTTTCTACTGCCAGATTATTTGTGTATGTAGATGAATCTCTTACATCATAAAGTGCTGGTACTTAATTCCTTGTTAAAATTCACTGTGAACTTACTGTACTTCTAACATTGTTGGTATTTCTCTGATCTCGCTATCAGTACTGACTGGATGTTGATCTCGTCGCCCAAGGGGTCGGAGACGGTTTTATCTGGTGGAACACAATAATTTAAATGTAAATCTTTTTTTTGGGGGCGGGGGGGCAGAGAATGAATGAAGGCAAATTAACCCCCAATATTTACACGTCCCCCTTGGTTCCTACGCCCATGTTTTTAGCTTTGTGAACCCCACCTCTATGACACGCTCTGTGCGTCTCCCGGCAGGAGCCAAGCGGGTGCAGGAGGTGGACAGCCTGCGTGGGGAGAAGGGGGCAAAGCTGGCTGGCGAGACCCTGGGTAGCGGGGAGACGTCGCTGGGCGACGCGCTCTGGTGCTGCTCCAACCTCTACAGCGACATCAAGCTGCGTCTCTCCCACAAGCGGCTCATGATCTTTACCTGCCGGGACAATCCCCATGACGCGGATGCGGGCCGCGACCTGAGCGCCCGCACCAAGGCGGGGGACCTCAAGGACACGGGTGGGTACGGCATGCGATGTTTTGGGAACCTTTAGGAGGAGGAGCAGCAAGAACCTTCCTGCATAAACGAGCGGTGTGGGTTCCTTTTCCGCACAGGCGTGGTCATCGATCTGATGCATCTGAAAAAGCAGGGGGGTTTCGACATCTCCCTCTTCTTCTGTGACATCATCAGCATCCCTGAGGGTGAGGAGGACCTTGGGCTGCAGATGGAGCCCTGCTCCAAGCTGGAGCAGCTGCAGAAGAGGGTGCGGGCCAAGGAGATGAAGAAGAGGGCACAGACTAGGTGATGGTTTTCTGAAGGCTGAGTGTGTCATTCCTGCCCCTGGCTCAGTGATCCTGGAGTTTGGGCTCTATGTCTCTGTCTCCCTCTCTCTGCCTCTGTCTCTCTGCCTCTGTCTCTCTGTCTCTCCCTCTCTCTCTCCCTCTCTCTGCCTCTGTCTCTCTGACTCTCTCTCTCTCTCATGTAATTTCCTCCTTAAGTACAGGCATGCCGTTGATTGAATTGATGTCTGTATTGTTCATGGTGTGTGGTGTCTTGTGTCCTCTCCTGTCTGGATGGGTCCCTGCTTTGCCGATGCACCTGTTGGACGTGTATCCACTGTACACAAACTACTCCAACCCCTGGGCCTCGCCTACTTCCACCCCAGGCTGAGGCTGTCTCTAGGTGATGGCGTGAGCATTGCAGTGGGTTTGTACGTGCTGGCCAGGAAAGCCACCAAGCCGTCCGCCGTCCGCCTCTACCGGGACACCAACGAGCCCGTCATCACCAAGACCCGCCTCTACAACACACAGACAGGTGGCCTGCTGCTGCCCAGTGACACCAAAAGGGCCCAGGTAGAGAGAAATGCAGGTGTTTATAAAGGGGCCAGCAGGGGGCATAATGGTTAAAGATCTGGAACTAGCCAAAGGCTCTGTTTAAATGTTGGTAGGGTAAAGCGGGTAGTGAATTCTTTCCATTAATATTTAACTGTAAAAAAACATGCATGGGTTGATTTGGATGATGGTCATTTGTCTAGTACAGTGGTTCTCAAACCAGTCCTGAGGAATTTCAGGAAATTGGGAGAGAGCAAAAATGTGGACCGTCTATAGGTCCCCGAGGACTGGTTTGAGAAACACTGGTCTAGTAATCACAGAAGTAAGCCATCCACTGCTTATGTTCACTGTCATAATGGGCGCTTAGAGTTTTTCCTGCCTCCTTCCTGACTCAGGTGTACGGGAAGAGGCAGATCGTGTTTGAGAAGGCTGAGGTTGAGGAGCTGAAGAGGTTTGATGAGCCGGGTCTGGTCCTCATGGGCTTCAAGCCCATGAACCGGCTAAAGTTGCACCATCACATCCGGCCCTCGCTCTTCGTGTTCCCTGAGGAAGAGATGGTCACGGGTTAGTACCACAGTCTGACATGGGGGGGGGTGGTGGTACCACTATTTCCCCTCTCTCTCTGTCGTTGGTGCAGGAAGCTCCTGCCTGTTCACAGCCCTGCTGCGTCGGTGCAGTGAGAGGGGTGTGTTCGCCGTGTGCAAATACACCCCCCGGCACAACACGCCGCCGCGTTTCGTGGCCCTGGTTCCCCAAAGGGAGGAGCTGGACGACGACAAAGTGCAAGTCACACCTGCGGGTATGATACCTGCTACCATGGCAAGCAAGTCCCGCATAGCTGGTTGCTATTGGGGCGTCCAATGGGCATCCCTGGTTTCTGCTGCCCCGCCCACCGTTAACACGCTTTCGCCGTCCCAGGGTTCCACTTGATATTCCTGCCATACGCGGACGACGTGCGGACTCTGGACACCCCGAAGTTCCCCCCTGCTGATGGCTCGCAGGTCGAGAAGATGAAGGAGATCGTGCAAAAGCTGAGGTTCCCTTACAGGTGCCACGCGCTAAAGGGCCCCGCCGTCTCCATGGAAACGTAGTGTAATATCATTGGATACATGGAACGTTCAGCCAATAACGCTTCATGTACTACAAATTAAGAGCATTTAAACACATGGCAATGCCTGCAAGGGAGGGGGTCTCACTGGCTGAGTGCTGTTTCTGTGCAGTGAAACTCATGCATTCCGTAGCTGCTGACACGCCTCCCTCACGTGCCCTGTGTGTCTCTCAGGAGTGACTCTTTTGAGAACCCTGTCCTGCAGCAGCACTTCAGGAACCTCGAAGCTTTGGCGTTGGACATGCTGGAACCTGAACCCATAGAAGACTTGACACGTAGGTCCAGTTTCTGGATATGGGATTTCCCCACCGAAATTACGAAGGCGTATGCGAGTGAAGAGGAGATTGCACAGCGCAGTGTGCAATAATCTGTGCCATTTATGATTTATAAATAAACTGTCCATCCTAGATGGGATGCTGTTCTGTCACAGGGCAGACACACTCACTCCGTGGGGTCCGTAAATATGACTAGTAGGAATGTTATCAGCATAGTTACTTACCCAAAAAGTCAGGTGTTCAGCGAGACAAACCCTAAAGCCGTCAGCACGCTCCGGTCCCCAAACAATGAGTTTTTCATCAGTTTGTTTCTCGTGCGATTAAGGCTTCTATCTCGGCCTCGCTGGAATTCAAGGTAGCTGGCTGATTCATCTTTTATGAATGGTATTTGGGTTTTACTATTTTCAGGGTGAGTCACGGCATTTTGGTCACATTTAGGAGGGAGTCTTTCTCCTGAGTGAACGCGCTTTTTGATGCCTGCTTTTTTGGTTTTGGACTGAACCGCATTTTTAAAACTTATCAGATTTTGTCGTCGTAGTTTAATGCAGCATTTCTGATAGTGCCAATTAAATACTGCTTTTCGTTTGTCAGAGTCCCAAAATGGCTTCTCTAAGCCATTCTAGAAGCAGTTTGTGTGTTCAGAAGCTGAAGAAGCCTTTCTGTCACTGCCCACAGAATTCCCCATAAAAGATTTTCAGTCTTCTTCAAAACTCACGTGAAAACAGAACAAATGCCCTCATCGGGTTTTTCTGTGTTGGTTTTTTTTCCCCACCCTGTCGACCTTCCAGTGCCCAAAGTGGAGATGATTGACCGCCGTCTGGGACCTCTGGCACAGGAGTTTAAGGACTTGGTTTATCCTGCTGGCTACAACCCCGAGAGCAAGTCGACGACCAAGCGTAAACCCGGTAAGGATTCAGCGGCGGCCTGGAGGCAGACTAATTGCACACATCTAAGCCATAGAGTGTGTTAATGTTTATGAAATGTACTGCAGTGGTTATCAGACTTGGTAAATATCAATAATAGCAGCAGAAAGATGACCACTATGTTACCAGAATGCATCCCATTGTGTTTCCGTGCCGACAGCCGTGGCAGGGGGCGGAGCAGAGAAGAAGCCCAAGTTAGAGGTATCCGAGGAAGACCTGCGGGCTCACGTGAAGAACGGCACTCTGGGAAAGCTAACTGTGCCGGTCCTTAAGGAGGCCTGCAAGCAGTTTGGGGTGCGGACCACTGGCACTAAGAAGCAGGAACTTATTGATGCACTAATCGCACAACTGTCAAAATGAGCCAAATGTAAAGGGTGGAGCTTCTGCTGATTGGTGGATTGAATTATTTGGACAGCAGAAAGAGAAGCCTTAAAATCCTAATTGAAATCATCCAGCTCTACATTTACTGCTGCCAGTTTGGTTACTTTGGTTAGTCTCACAACCGTGCTGCCCCTCCGGGGGTGCCGATGATGCCCCCTGCAGCATTACAGTTGATATTGCACCACGAGACCAACAGCGCTTTATACTGTAGGGAGACTATGTGCGGTTTTCCTGCAAATTGACTTGATCTCATATCCAAGGCTGCACCGAGCTGGTGACAGGAATATGATTTTCTCTTAAATTGCGTTTTGATACAAGATTAATAAAACAAAGTTTTCATGCTGTGATTTATGAGATTCTTCGTGCCTGGATGTTTTTCAGCGATTGTGTCCGTTGCGTCCTGTTTGTGTTTCTGTGAAGCTCGCCTGGGTTTATAACAATCGCCTTCCTCGGCTGTCTCCCTTGAACTTTCCTCACCTATAATGGAAACAAGACGGTGAAAAGCCCCCGTCATTCTGTCAAGCTTGAAAGTGAAACTTTTAATGAGGGATAAAGGAGACGGTTGTCAAAGTCGAGAGAAAACGGCAGGGATATAACTGTGCGAGCTTTCAGCCAGTGGGGGGGCGGCTGCAAATACAGCAAAATAGCCTTGGGTGGGTATTATCAGCAATTACAAAGTAAGTGTGTGTGTGTGTGTGTGTGTGTGTCAGACACAAAACACCTGTGTGTCATTTTGGGTGTATTCCTGTTTTGAAAGAACGATCTGCATGAAAGCTGTTTCTTTTAATTATATAACACAAAAATGACATCATGCCTGTGCATGATGTGTTGTTTCTGTGCTCTGGTTCACTGTACAGCAGTATGCTCTCCAGAAAGGGTCAGAACATTATTAGGTATTGTTAACTAATACCATGTTTATGATATTTGAGATCTGAGGATAAACTTCAGGAGCGTGATAATACAATCACAGCTGTGGTATTCACACGGAGTCAGATACAATGGTAATTGCCATAGTCGCTTTCCATCTGTCGTTATCTGTTGTGGTTGTTGTGTGTGCATCTGCAGTAAAAGTAAACAGAAAAAGGTTTACACTTAAAAAAAAAAAAATGTGTACGCCTGCCCCACTGTAAATTGTCCATAGTAGGCCTACATTTTTATTCAATTCTTCAATTTTATATCACGTTTTCCTGCTTCAGTGCCTCCACCCGTAATAAAGGGATGGAAACGGCCGATCTAACCCTTGTAAATTAGTAATGCGTTTTGCAGCTGCGGAGCAGTCAGCCCCACGCAGGAAAGGCAGTTCAACAACAGCGCGTTAAGCTGCCATCGCTTACCTGGCTCGGTAAGGACTGCACACGTTGCTTGGTAACCGGAGCAGCAGCTGTACTGAGGGAGGATGGGCAAGGTTTAAGACAGCTTGATGCATGCCTCTGTACAAAAGCTGTGAATAAACACACTTATTGCCCTTGAGGTTGCAGTACACAACACTTTCGATTGGTTGGGGTCTGTTGTCCCAACTTTGTGGCAGTGATGCAAACCGGTCTTGCTCCTGAGCTGACCTTGTTGAAATCTCTCACCTGAGCCGGCCTGACCATTCTGTGGATCTCAGTATTCTGCTCTTTGTGGTAATGACCTGTGGCTGGTCTGCTTTGATCAGCTACTACCTTTTGCTGTCGTACAGGTAAAAATACTGTGTATTTAAAACTGAATCATCCCCCTGCAATGGAGATATATACAAAAACTTAGTCTGCTATAATCACACAGAAGAACTAAAATACTGGGAACATGGGATGGTGATTAAGGTCCAGGATTTGTATCTGAACCGTTACTGGTCTTAGTCTGAGGTGTGACTATGCTGTTGTGGCCTTCACAAAGATTCCATTACAAATTGATACCCTCTAAATTAGTAATATTCAAAGCTATTAATTTTTGTTTCAGTTTTAGTAGCAAATGTGTAACAATAATAACAGTGAGAAGATTTTTGATTTTAGGGAAAGTGTGATGATGTGACTTACAGGCCTTGTTGATGTGGCGGTCTCAGTTCTGGAAGCTTGCAGTGGGCAGGCAATATGTAAATTATCCATATGGAACGTCCACCCAGCTTCTACCCACATAGCTAATCGCTCGCGGGAGTTTTACACAAAAATGTTCTGAAGGCAGAAGGAAAAACGATTGGTTCAGAGAGATAGCCAATCAAATTGTGGGGGAGGTGGGTCCAACCAATCAGATGTATTGGTTCCGCCTCATCCAGTTGCTTGGGCCCACCTCCTCCACAATCTGATATCCTTCTGTCCCCAGAACATTTTTGTGTAAACTCCCATGAGCTATCTAATACAGGACTGCAATGGGTGCAGAGACACAAGAAACACATGGTACATTCGAGGAATGTGTGTCCATCACAGGACATACACACAATCATAAATAAACTTTGATTTGTTTTAATATACTAAAGGCAATCTGGAGACACTTGTAGTGCCTAACTGTGTATTTATGGACTGTGTGAAGAAGCCAGTGTACCAGAAAAAGCCCACATAACAGAGGAAGAGTGTAATAAGGAGCACACACATGTCAGGTTTTGAGACAACAGCGTTACCCTCTCAGTCACCTCCATATGGGAAATATATCAAAGGAATGTTTTGAAATTAATGGATGGAGACTGTAATGCATGTTACATTAGAACATTTTATATGCAAATTTATTATTGAAGATTAGGAAATTATACGTAAGATGCTAAATAGATGTAAAAATCAAACTACTGGCCATCTGCAATGTGTCAGGTTTGTCCGTGATGTGCAGGGTTACAGCAGAAGCAGGCGGGGTCATGGAGTCCCCACAATGGCACCGACCTCCATCTGCTCAGAGGGAGACTGAATGAAGCAGACTGCTGTCACTCACTCCTCAGGGCAAAGTGACAGGTCCGCTGTCACCTGCTGGTGCCCGTTTCGGAGACAGAGCCACGCTACCTCCGAAGCGAAATGCTCGCTGCCATGGAGATGAGCAGTCTGCGTTTCCTGTGACAAGCCTCGACTCTCCTGCCCCTCAGCCTGAAATGAGGGGGGCATCTGTGCCCCCCCCCCCCCCGCTGTGAACACTGGGCTCCACGAAAGGTGGACTCCGTCATGTAAAGAGCCATTTAAAAACCAGCTGTTAGCGGATTTTGATGACCCTCCGCAAAATGAGCCCTGCACAGAACGTGGGCAATGGGGGTGCCTATGAATGTTTGCTGAAGTGTTCAAGCAAACAAATCTCCCCGCCCTGGCATTTCAGCATATAAACAAAGAGCTCTGTTTAGCTATCAGTGACTCTTTCACTTACATACACACACTTGTCCTTCTAACCGCATGTCTAATGGCTCGTGGGAATTTTACTTGTCATTTCATGAAAAAACACCTGAAAATCCATCCTCTGTTTGACACCCAAAAAGGCTTCATTTCACATCTAGGAAACTGGCACCTATCTGGTCGGTGATTTTGTGGCTTAATTTCAGGGCACGCACGCAACCATATGCTAGGGGCAATTTAGAGCCGCTGATTAGCCTGATTTTGGGATGAAACCCGCATGATAGAAATAAACTCCACACACACAGAGCAGAGGAGGAATTCGATCCCCTGACCCTAGAGTCACAAGGCACCATTCCCCCTTGTCCTTGTTCCAATAGACCAGTGTTTCCCAATCCGGTCCTCGGGAACCCCCAGCCGGTCCACATTTTTGTCCCTCCCAGCTCCCAGTAGGAAAAACATGGACTGCCAGGGGGTTCCCGAGGACCGGACTGGGAAACACTGCAATAGACAGCGTTTCTTAAAACATGAGTCATGCATTTTGTGTGTGACGTTGACAGTGTAATACAGTGGTTCTCAATCTTTGGAAATCCCCCAAAAAACCTGGTCAAGTTTAGTGACCTCTTCCAATATGATAAATTTCAGGGTGACGGGAGGCAGCTAGGTACTACCCAGGGAGTGCAGAAGAAAAAAATCTTTAAAACCTTTTTTTTTACCATATTCAGAAAATCATCTTACGACCCCTGTCAATTTTTGGTGACCCGCTAGCGTGGGTCGTGACCACAGTTTGAGTGCCGCTGCTGTAACACATAGTGCGAAACGGAAAGGATTAAGAAAACCGAAAGGAACTCACACCCCAGTGGTCATATTGCATACAAGTGCTGAGTTATTTTAGAAATCACTCTAAAGCAGGACTGTGGGGAGTCTGGGGACATGTATGCGTCATACTAACGTGTCATGCTGAAGATGATGGGTCTCCGAGCCACAAGACATGTATGCTGTTCATCCCTCGCCCGGCGCTGCTTCTGTCTTCGATCCCTTAATGGTCCCTTTAGCAGGACAGCGACGCAGTGATGCAGAGAACAAATGTTCAGCGTAGTTACTTCGATCTCTGGGCCCCTTTTATGTGCCTGAGCCCCAGTGTCTATACACATCCCCAACCATCTGCACGTCAGCGGGCGGGCGATCGGTGAACTGCAATGACACGAGGCGCAGAGCGATTTCTTCGCACTTTCCGTCTTTGGGGCGCCCTGACACCATCTGGGTCTAATACATAAATGTTTAACGTGGGGAAAACACCAAAGCATTCGTGTTATTTGAACTGACTCCCGCATATTTGCAAAGTAACAGACTCATCGAGAACTAATTTATCTGCTGCCAGCAAAATGAAAACGGCAACAAGTTCACCGCCCGCTCCAAGACTGCATGACATACTGTAGACATGCGTTTTAAATGTTATTGCCTTTTACCCCTAAGGTACTGAAAACTACCAAAAACGTCCCTGACCCTGTGTTACTTAAGTTCACACAACAGATATATAGTAGGAACTATTTAATTGTTTTCAATGATACGCATAAAAGACCGCATTTAAAGAACCACTTTATACACTCAAGAAAATGGACGTTGATCTATTAGGTAATAATAGCTGCAATTATTTAGTTTAGATTCCATTTGCTGACATAAACAGAAATGCATGTCATTGGAGTGCCATTGTACTGGCACATCTATTTTTGGAAATACATCAGACCATCCATAATCCATCTGCTACGGGGAGCCTCTGCAGATTCGGAAAAACATGGTTCATGTATGGCGCTGCACTTCATTTTGTACGTGTTTGTATTGCGAATGCGCTTATACATGTAACTAAAATGTTAAGAGCTTGCAAATAACTAAATTGACTGAACTATACGTGCTGTGTGATCCGGGTTCCTTGAGAGTCACAGAAACAGTTACCTCAGTTACCTACAGCAGAGTATAAAAAGGCGATGTTAACGGGTATCATCGAACATATATATGCATGCTTTTAAAAGTTGTTTTGACTGTCCCTGGGTTTTATTAACTTTTTTAAAAATT